AAAGTCGAAAAGTAACTTATAAAATATTCAGCTGAATGAATAAACTAAAGACTTCAGACACGAACCTTTTTTTTTTTTTTTTTTTTTTTTTGAAATGAAAAACAACTACTTATTTTTGTTCTTTTGTTACCTGTGACAGCAACACCAAAAACTTAACTAAAATTCTTAATTATATTGCTGATGCACTTTAGTAATAGCTTTATTGCTGTTGCTGCTGCTGGTCGATTGTAGTTGTAATGCCTTAATGATGGTTTGTTGATTCTTGTCCAAATGCACTTAAATAAATTGCGACTCGCACAGCTGAGCTCATATATGTTTGCTAATTATATTGAAATGGTTGCATATGTTTCAGTTAATTCCTGGTTTAATATGTACATATGTATGTAGGTTTGAACAGGGTTTGGTATTCGCCAATCACAGCGACTAGTTTATCAGAGAATTTTTAATTCACGCACTAAAAAAATTTGGGTTTTTGCAAAAATCTTTTGTTGCGAGACTTGAAGAAGTTAACAGTTCAATTGTTTGCAGGATCGCCAATATATCGTATGTTGATATTTTAATTATTGATTTTATTTTAATTTTAAGTACAAATATTTTAATGTTTAAAAATTGAAAGTTTGTTTATTAAATAATCAAAAATTTTCTTTTTGATAACAAACAAATTCATTGAACCATAAATTGGACATGAAGAATTTAAACAAGTATAAAAACATATAGGTAAAATACCCTACAGTGTATAAGGAAAGTTAAATGTCGATGTTCTGTTTACAATGTTGCGGAAGCGTGTGTGAATGTGGGCAACATCTGCCGGCATCGATCGGTGGTGCAGCGCACGAGCGGAAGTCCGGGGTAGCCTTCGCGGAAGGGCTCATTTGGCCATCCCGGCCCCCCTAGGCGAATATTCAGCCTAGCAACCGCTGCAACTGTTGAAGGTTCTGGACCACGTTACTAAGGGCAGTTACCCGGTGATGATGCGGGCCAGATTGTCGCCGACGTGAGATGGCGGGGGCGACAATAGGTCGACTGCTGCCAGTGGGTGCGATTTCGGTTGGTGTTAGGATGCCGACGTTGCACTCCCGGCTCCCGTTGCTGCCGCCGATGATCACCGCGCCTGATCGGAGGCACATTGTCCCGCCTTACGATGCGATGCCACAGCGTGTGGTGTTGCCGAGGACAGATTTGGCACCCGTACGAGGTGCACTCCCTGGTGTCATGAGTGAGGGTCAGGCAATTCAGGCAATGCCCATGCGCTCGGGCCACCTGTTGCCGTTGCTTTGGAGACATGCCTCGGAAATTGGGCAAATGCGCAGTGGGTGCGGACGGCGGCATAAACCGCAGCGAATGCCAGGTGGATTACGGGGTCCCGCAGAGATCTGCCCTTGCTGGCCTTCTTCCATATGATTGGTTACCGTCCTTGGGTTGTGCATGCGGGCCGTTGCAACTAGTGGGGCCGCAGGCAGTGGCACGTTGGCGCGTGGCGCCGCCCTTGGTGGTGCTGAGGCCCTCGGTACAGTTACCGCGGATCTGACCGCCGGAACAGGACTGGAGGGGGATGATGTGGGCATTTCAACGTCCATTTCTATAGGAAGAAATCGCGACTTTAATTTTGGGTAGAAACTTTAGATGACGGTTAGTGGCCGATTAGTGGATTAATCGGGTATACATTAGTAAATATTCTTATTTACGTTAGTTGAGTTGCGTGGTTTTCGTTTTATTTGCGGTTTTAGGTGTGTTGGAATTACGATTATTACGCTTCACGGATTATTGGCGTTTTCGGTCGGTAAAAGGCAAAGTTTTACGAGCGGTCGAGTTAGTGTATCGTTTTGTGTGCGCAAATCTACGACTCGTATGTGACCATCGGAGCCACGATGTAATTTTTCGATTCTTGCGAGGCGCCACTAGGTGGGGGGAAGACACTCATCGTGGATGAGAACACATTCTCCGATTTTAGGCTCCTCTTGAGTGTTTTTCCATCTATATCTTTTATGGAGGTCTTTTAAATAATCTTCCTTCCATCTACGACTGAATTCATGATGGAGAATTTTCATTCGTTCCCATCGATTCATTAGAGATTGCTCGTCTGGTTTGGGTATTGCCAGAAGTAGAGCTCCTCTAAGAAAATGCCCAGGGGTGAGGGCAGTGAAATCGGAGGGATCTTGCGAGAGCGCAGAGAGGGGCCGTGAGTTAAGAACGGCTTCTAGGGGTTAATAATGTAGTAAATTCTTCAAAGTTAAATTTGTGTGTGCCAGTGACTTTTTTAAAATGTGTTTTGAAGCTTTTTACAGCTGATTCCCATAGACCACCCATATGTGGGGCACTTGGTGGGATAAATTGCCAATCAATGCCTTGGGGTGCGTGTTTTTTGACGATTTCAGGCGAGACTTTAATTTAACAAATTGTTTTTCAGTGGCTCTTTTGGCTCCGACAAAGGTTTTTCCATTGTCGCTCATTATTTTGGATGGAAATCCTCGCCGCCCGATGAAGCGAGCAAATGCAGCGAGAAAAGCCGCAGTTGTCAGATCAGAACATAGCTCGAGGTGTACTGCTTTTGACGTAAAGCATACAAAGACAGCCACATAACCCTTCGTGAAGGTTGAAGTCCTTAACATGGAAGCCTTTATCTGGAAAGGCCCAGCAAAGTCAAAACCAGTGGTAGTGAAGGGCAGAGCGAAAGTGCAGCGTTCAGGTGGAAGAGCTGCCATGATCTGCGTGCGCATCTTCTGCTTATGTATAGTGCAGACTTTGCACATAAATATGCATTTTTTGATCTGTGGCTTTAGTCGTGGAATATAAAATTCTTGT